GCGCCTCAGTGTAAGCTGCGGACCTTCTAAGCGCAGGGCTGGGGCATCTGCTGAGGGGACCCCAAAGAGGGAGGAGATGCAGCTGCACCCTCTAGAAGGCTGTGCCAAGCAGAAAATAAATAGTAATTCAACCTCACGGAAGATAACCTCTCCGAGCTGTTTCCTCATCTGCAAAACAGAGATAGCCTTTATCACACTGGATTTTAGCAGGGATTAAATGAGATTACTTTTATAAAGTGCCTGACACTACTCCCTAAATACTCAGTAAGTGATCATTATTATTAACACACACACACCCCCAATAGAAGAGATGTCACAGGGTAGGCTAGGCCTCATGCCAAAGCTATGGCTAAACAATAAGAGAAAAGGATTGGGGTGGGGTGGGGTGGGGGAGGGTGAAAGCTACTGCTGTAGGCCTCAGTGGGCTTGGAAGACCTCCCAATAGGGGAGGAACCTTCATGGGCCCTGGAAGCTGCTAGGGTGAGAAGGTGCCATGTGGGGCATTTCTACATTCAACCCTTACATCAGTCTTAGAATGGAGAGAGAGCATTTTCACCTTGCTGATGACACAAGTCAGTTATAGAGAAATGAGGTCCCTGGTCCCTGGTCACATGGGTACCAAGAGGTGGTGTCAGGGGCAAGGCCTGGGGGGCCTCATGACCAAGTCTTTCCTTTATACTAGAGCTAGATGGGGTGGGGCTGGTGAGAACAAAATGAAGAGCCTACCTCATAAATCACAGCATCTTGCACACAGTGGGAGTGCTGGTGGTGTAGTGTCTAAGGCAAATGACTACTAACCAGAAGGCTGGCGGTTCAAACCCACCAGCCGCTCCTCGGAAGGAAGATTGGGCAATCTACTTCCATAGTGATTCTGCCTCAGAAACCCAAGGAGTGGTCGCTATGAGTTGGATCTGACTTGACGGCAGTGAGTTGGGTTTTATTTTATTATTATTATTATTTATTTATTTATTTTTTGCACATAATGGGTGCTTCACTGAACAAAATCCAGGCAGACCAGCCTGGGCCCTTAAGTGCCCTGGCATTTCTGGAAACATCATGTCCTACCTGAAGGCTTCCTCCCACTCCCCGGCTGACCTCCCCTCCTGTCCTGCAGTCAGCCAGCTATTTCCCAAAGGGAAAAGGTTCTTTTTCTCTTTAGAGAGTCCCATCTTGCTTCTTGAGACAGTTTCAAGGTGACCTTTAGGCCACTTCTCTCTCTTGTTGGGGATTCAGAGAGGCAAGTCCTAGCCTTCTTTTTACAAGAAACTACTTGCTGAGTCTGATAGCCACACATGTGAAGTGGACGATCATGACCCATCTCCCCTGACCCACAGACTTGTTCTAAGGAGGAAATGGTTCAAAGGAGGATATGCTTTGCAATGACAAGGCCAAAAAAAGCTACATGATGTAAAGGGACAAGGAGCTTTTTTGTCCCTGGTTAGGAGACAAGATGAACACCTACTTTATGGGCTCCTAAGCCTCTGCCAGGAGTTCCAGGTCAAGAACATTGGAAAACAAACACAAGGGGTGCCAGTGGTGAGTTGGGTACAATGAGGTTCTCCATCCAACCAACCCCTTGGACTGGGCATCAGGTGAACTGGAAACAAAGCTGAATTCATGCAGGGTCCAAATCACAAAGTGAGGTGGGGCTGGAGACTGGCTTAGGGTCAACTTCACAGTTCTTCCAATAGTCTAGATAACACCCCTGCAATCCACTAGGCCCCGCCCACAAAGGAAAAGGCAAGAGTCCCTGTCAGAGAGAGAAAAAAGGCTTAGAAGAAGGAAGTGACTTGCCTAAGGCCACCTATTAAAGCAGAATTACAATAGAACCTAGAAGAATTCACTCCAGAACTTCAGCTCTAACTACCCTCCCACACACACCCCAGTCTCTTGCTAAGCATCTACCTCAGACTCTACTCAATGATCAGGAGCTTTTGGATAAAAATGAGAGTTGCTCGCAGCACTTTCTATTCTTAAAGGAGGGGTACCTTGCCAGGGAAACAGCTGCCACAGATGACAGAATGAGGGCTCCAACATCCCTCCCATCTATGTTGGGGTGTTGAAAAGAATAGGCAAGACACCAAAACAAGCTCTTGGGCTCTCACGTATCCATGCAGAGGGAGCATGGGCTCAGCGCCCTCAACCCTACCCCAAAGGCAGTTGGTGTGAGCTCTGGAGGCAACTTAAGCCACGGGAAGAACAAAGTCAGTAGGCCCTGAAACCAAAGGAAGGACTCCGGTGGCAGCCTAGGGTTGAGAGATTCCTAACTCTCCAGCCTCAGTCTGTCTCTGAACTGAGACAGGAGGCTGAAGTAGGGATCCATTTGCCTTGTTGTTGTTGCCGTTAGGTGTCGTCGAGTCATCTCCAACTCATAGCGACCCTATGCACAGCAGAACGAAACACTGCCGGGTCCTGTGGCAGCCTCACGATCCCCGCTATACCTGAGTCCATCGTTACAGCCACTGTGTCAGTCCATCTCGTTGAGGGTCTTCCCCTTTTTCGTTGAAAGGGGAATGGGGATACCAAGTATGACATCCTTCTCCAGGAAATTTGCCTTAGGTGTTTAAAATACTAATGGGAGCAGCTGCCACTCATTGAATGCTTCCTGTATGTACAAGGAGCACTATACAAAGTTAGCTCTACATGCACTAATTTGTGCCATTGTCACATCAGCAGCCCTATAACTAGATACTCTTATTTCCCTCATTTTTCACCCATGAGGAAACTGAGGCTCAGAGAGGTTAAGTGCCAGAGTGGAAGAAGTCATACCTAACCTTGACTCTACAAAGCAAAGGTGAAAGAAAAATGGGCTTTCACTTTTGCCACCTCACCAGGGACCCCTGAGATCTTGGATACCCTTTTCTCCCCTCTCTTCTCCAGGTTGGCCAGTCAATAAAGCACCTCTATTTTCAGAGGCAGAAAAATGCATTTCTAAGCCAGAGACACAGGATTTTAGAACTGCAAAGGCCCTTAGAGATCGTATCCAACCTCCTCATTTTACGATTGGAAAACTAAGGCCCAAAGCTGAGGGACTTGCCAGGGTTACCCAAGTCAGTGGAACAGCAGCAATGTCAGAGCTGGAAGGGGCCACAGAGATCAACTGACAGGTGAAGAGGCGTGGCTAGCCCAAGGTCACAAAAGGAGTTGGATGAGAAGCCAGGTTTCCTGACTTCCAGACTAGATCCCCTTACCACGGCACGATCTCTGCTGTCCAGCAGCCCAGGGTCCTGGACACAGCACTTGGGCTGTGCCAGGCCAAGCCGGACCCATTTAGGACTAGAGACATCAGGCCTGCAGGATTCCTGTGGTCATACCATCATCCCAACAGCAGGCACTGACACCCAGACTGTTGTGGGCCAGCCCCCAGTGCCCTAAATACAATGCCAGGTATGGTCAGGAGGCAAGGGGGTTGGAGGGAGGAGAGTAATTTATAGACAGCACTTGTGAGCACTCTCTCACACAGGCAAATGACATATCATAGGGACTTCAATTTCTTACAATAAATTAAGATACAAGGTCTCATGACTCAATTGGAAATTTAGAGAATTTTTCCCATTTCACAGGTGGGGGAGACCAGCAGAAAAAGTCCCAGTTTGTTCAAGGTCATCTAATTATGTCACATCAGTACACACGACTCTCCTTGCCTAGTTCTTGATTTTTCCAGGAAGCTGGCTGCCATCAGAGTACATAGGTGCTGGTAGTCTAGCTCCACACACAGGCCAGGGCACTGTGACCGGCTCAGCACTAACGCCCTGCAGCAGGAGGCAGCTCCTGGATCTGTCCAGAGTCAATGAGGGCCCTGGGCACCACAGCCCTCCTGCAGCACGTCCCAGAGCCTGTCTCACACCAGCCTGAAATCGCCACTCAGCACCTGCATGTCCTTGTGAAAGTGGCCAGGCTTCCTGCCACGTACACCCCAAATCTAAATGTCGGGCAAAGGGGAAGCAGAGACCCAGGCCCCCATGCCTTCCACAGCTAGCTGGGGACTGGAAAAGCAAAGGCAGCATTCAAAGGTCCCTGGACACCACTCTCTGGGACGTCTGGGCTATGCAGGCTCTGGTGAGCAACATCAGTCACCCGGCAGACCAGGAGGCTCAGGCCTGGCAGGGAGATAACCCTTTGGGAGGAACAATTTTTCTGTTTCCTTCCCCTTAAAAGAACATTTCCAAGTCCGTTCAGACCAAAACACTCCTAGCCCCTCTCCTGTACCTCTCCTACTTAGTTGAACAGCAGGCCAATGTGACTAGCCAGCTCAGACAGCACCGTGAGACACAGCCAGGTGCCAAACTGCAGGTGAGTTGGGGCCAGACCAAGCTCCAACTTCTACTCAGCACCCCCCGCCCCAAAAAATAGGCTTCAGAAATTTCCAGGGCTTCCTAATCCATAAACTGCATAACGGATGGCATTCCTGGCTGGAAAGTGACTCAGGGGCTCCTAACCAGCCTGGGCAGGCACAGATGACAAATAACATTCTGGGAATGAATGAAGTGAGACTATGAGTCTCCCTCACATTCTACCACATTTGTAAGTCTCCAACTACTCAGACAGGCCAATTAGAAATACACTCCATCCTGGGCCACCCTACCAAGATGTGTATACAAAACACGTTGATGACAAAACAGAATGTGGCACTTGCTGGAAGACTGTCCTTACTGTCTCACACACAGCTGGATGCCTGGCTCCCCACGGGGTCTAGCCCAGCCAGAGGATACTTAATAGACTTGGAAGCCTTGCTGTAGGTACCTAGTATGAGAAGCATCCCATCCTCCCATCTTGCTTACTCTTCCTCATGACACTGGCTCCAATCTTGGCAGGCCTTAGAATCAAAGAGGCCACAGAGCTGAAGTTTAAGAAGGACCAAGATGGCAGGATGGAGGATGCCCACATTACAGGAATAGTCCAGCTCCTTACTCCTGGGCAGCCCCAAAGGTTAAGAGATGGGGCAAGCTCCCCAGTCTGATGGTGGTGGCAATAGCAGTACTGGAGTAAACTGGACTTACCTATCTTCATGAGGCAGGCCAAGAGGATCCAGAGTGCAATCTCAAAGGGTGTGCGCACATGTCCGTAGTCAATGCCCAGGACTGGAAAGGGCTTTCGTGGCTTTATGATGTTTTCAGTGACGGAATGATTAACAGGGCGGCTTTCTGGGATGACCTCTGGTGGGGCAGTGGTGACATCTCCAATTGAGCGTTCCCGTGGAGGCTCTGAGCCCCGGATGGTGCTGGCAGTAGGGCTGGGCTGGAGGCCATGGCTCCTGAGAACGGGTAGCAACCCCACCAAAGCTACCACCACAAGCAACGAAGGGAAGATCCGTGGTGGGGAGAGGCCACAGATGCTGGACCACAGAGGCATCACCCAGCTCCCTTGGCCCAGTAGGCCTCAACCTTTAGAAAAGGGAGAGTAAGACCTGGGGCATAGGTAGCAAGGGGTCAGCAGGTGGGGAGAGAGACTGGGGTAGTTTCTAAAAAACGTTCATGTTGTAGAGAGGTATTTGTGTGGAAGCAGTCCTCTGGGGGTAAGGGGAGGCTAGGGATTTGCAAAGCCCCAAGTTTCAAAGCCAGGATCTGGGACTCCAAACTGAGGAAGATGGACTAGGAGTCTAGAAGGAGGAGACCAAAAGATCTAGAACCCAAGGCCCAGAAAAGGCAGGGCGGGGGGGGGGGGGAGCCCTGGGGCAGAGGAAAGGACAGGGAAGGTTAGACCACAGGGAGGGGAAAGGAAGAGGAAAGGCTAGGTCTTGACTCAGGAAAGTGATAGAGGAGCTGGGACTATACGCTAAGGGAAAGGACAGGGTGCAGGAACTCTAGGAATGGGACCAAGAGGGGTGGGACCCAGTCTAGGAAAAGGGATAGAGGAAGTTGGGAACCCACGCTGCGAGGAAGGAGTGAAGCAGCAAAGCGGCCGGGAGTTTTCCCACCCAGAGAAGGGCCGAAATCCTGGTGCTCCGGGCTGAGATTCCGGGGAAATGGAGGGAAGCGGAAGGCGGAGGCAGGCGACCCGGCGGGAAGGCGCCTCGGCGCGGGCCGGGGGAGGCTCGCTGCGGGCCGACGACAACACGCCCCTCCTTAAAGGCCCCGGCGTGATGCTGCGCTCCGCCCCGGCCCAGCCGCAGAAGCTCCGTGTCCACCTCTAATAACAACCCCAGCCCCAAACCTGGCGGCAGTGGACTGATGCCGCGCTGAGACCGGCTCTGGCTCTTATAGGCACCAGCGAGCAGCCGGTGCAACGGGCTAGAGGGACCTGTCAGTGCCCGCTCATGCAGCGCCCCCTGTCAACGAGGGAGAGGTATGGCGGAGGAAGAACCCACTGCCATCGAGTTGATTCTTAGTGACCCATAGGGTTTCCAAGGTTGTAAATCATTGCGGAAGTAGATTGCCTCATCTTCCTCCCACGGAGCAGCTGGTGGGTTTGAACCACTGACCTTCTGATAGCCAAATGCCTTAACCACTGCATCACCAGAGCACCAGAGCTCACATAGGAAGAGAAACTAAAAATCCACTGCCATAGAGTCCATTCTGACTCATAGCGCCCCATAGGAGTTCCAAAGCCTGTAAAGATGAGGCTGACTGCCTCATCTTTCTCCTGGTGTGGCTCTTGGGTTCCAACTGCCAACTCTTTGATTAGCAGCCAAATGCTTTAACAACTGCACCACCAGAGCTCCTAGGAAAAGAAAGGAAACTCAGAAATGGCAACAACAACAAAAAAAAGTTCTGAACCTACAAAGATACTAACTCACTCAGGCAAAGTGCTTTACTATTTACAAAGTGCTTTCATAGCCACACCACAGCTTCATAAAAGCTCAGTAATCCTGAAAAGGATATATTATTATCATGTGTGCTGTGTTACCATGTGACCTTGAGCAAGTTACTTAACCCCTGTTCCACAGCTTTCTTGCCTATTAAGTGCAGGTAGTAATAATACCTATATCAGAGAGATACTGTGACAACTAAATGAAATAAAGAGTTTTAAATGTTTGTTGTTGTTAAGTGCCCATGGAGTCAACGCCAACTCATAGCGACCCTAAGTACAGCAGAGTGAAACACTACCAGGTCATGTGCCATCCTCACAATCCTTGCTATCTTTGAACCCGTCATTGCAACCACTGTGGCAGTCCATCTTGTTGAGGATCTTCCCCTCTTCCCCTGACCCTCTATTTTACCCAGCATGATATCCAAGGAATGGTCCTTTCTGACAACATGACCAAAGTAGGTAAGTTAAAATGTTTAGAATGGAACAAAGATGACGCTTTAAGGACTAAGGTGTGTCTGCCCCAAGCCACAGTATTTTCAATAGGCTCATATGCAAGTAAAAGCTGGACAATGAATAAGAAAGACTGAAGAGAATTGATGCCTTTGAATTACAGTGTCGGTGAAGAATATTGAATATACCACAGACTGCTAAAAGAACAAACAAATCTGTCTTGGAAGAAGTACAACTAGAATGTTCCTTAGAAGCAAGGAAAGATAGTGAGACTGTCTCACCTACTTTGGACATGTTATCAGGAAGGAGTGGCCCCTGGAGAAGGACATCGTTTCAGTTAAGGTTAGGCAATCCTACTTCCGTAGTGATACTGCCTCGGAAACCCAAGGAGGGGTCGCTATGAGTCGGGGCCGACTCGACGGCACATAACAACAACAACAACAGTGCTGCTCTAACACAAATACCACAAGTGGCTGGTTTGAACAAACAGAAGTTTAATCTCTCACAGTTCGGGAGGCTAAAAGTCTAAGTTCAAAGTGCCAGCTCTAGCGGCTGGGTCAAAGTCCCTCAACCTTGAGCTTTAGCTCTGCCTCTTGCTCCCAGCCAACTAGAGCTAGAGGCATCTCTTAACTCAGTCAACTGCTGGCTGCTGAGGCTGACAAACCCAAGTTTGACAAGTAAAATGGCACAGTCCCAAGATTAACAGACAACATGGCAGGCTACTGGTTCAAGTCCAGAAACAATCCCGAGATCAGCAGGCAACATGGCAGGCATGAATGAAGACTCAGCTACATGTAGGTTCCAAGAGTGCCAAAAAGCTCAGAGACCTTTCTCAACATTTCTCCCTATACACTGGAAGCATCCTTAAGATATCTACTTACCTGTTCACAGAAAATTCCACCATGGAATTCATTAGCAGTCTCATCGTGGGGAGTAACTACATCCAACTGCCCAGCCACTCAAAACCAGGCCCAGCCAAGTTGACACACAACTTACCTACCACAGATAAAGTAGAGGGTGAGCAAAAAGGAGGAAGACCCTCAATGAGATAGATTGACACAGTGGCTGCAATGATGATATCAAACATAGTAACAGTTGTGAGGGTGGTACAGGGCCAGGCAGTGTTTCATTCTGTTGGGTGTAGGGTCCCCGCAAGTCAGAACTGACTTGACAGCACCTAACAAGAATGGAGCTTGGTACATAGAACAATTATTAGGGTTCTAGTTTTAAAGATGAGGAAACTGAGGCAAAAAAAGAGGTTCTAGCTAGTATGTTGTTCAAATAATTTATTTTAGAAGGATCAGCACAAGGCTGGTCCCTATGAAGCAGAGGTTAAAGATGTCCCAATGCCCTACTTTTCCAAACTGCTGTACCACTCCATTATCTCTAACATCAACTACTCCACTTCCCCTCAGTAATCTCCCTCCTGCCTTAGGGTTCTGTATTTCACTGTAATGTCTCACAGAACTCACAGACTGCCAAGGAAATGACTCACACAGTAGTAGAGGCTGGCAAATCCCAAATCCATGGGTCAGGTGTCAGTCTGGAGGGTTCTCCTTGCTCATGTGGTTGCAGGAGCTGACGAACCCATATCTGCAGCTTAAACGACTGACTGCTGTCTCAGGTCCCAAGAACCAGAGGTGAGATGATAATGAACCAAATATAGGATGCAGAGCAAGAGAGCAAACTTTGCCAAAACACTCACCTATATATTAGATGCAGACCATACTCTCAAGGAAACTAAGGGTGGTGACTTGAGTCACATCCTTTAATAAGGTGATGACTCAAGATACATCCCACCTTAAGTCTGCCTCATTAACATAAAGGACAACTTACTCCAAAATGGGACCATAACCACAGACATAGAGGCTAGGATTTACAATACATCACAAAATGAAGGACCATGGCTTGAAGGGCCATATTAAGTAATTCACTACATTGCATATGCAAATAGTAGAGTTGAGATTCCAACATATGGTGTTGCCTAGAATTGGTACTAGCTCAAGAAATCACGGCTGTATATTAGAATCACTGGAAAGCTGGTTTATTTTTTAAATTTTTATTTATTTTGTTGTTACTGAGAATAAACACAGGACAATAAATTCAACAGTTTCTACATAACACAGTTTAGTGTGATGCTGATTACACTCTTTGAGTTGTACAACCATTCTCACCCTCCTTTTGTGAGTTGTTCCTCCCTCATTAACATAAACTCACTGCCTGCCCCCAAGATTCCTACCTAATCTTTTGAGTTGCTGTTGTCAATTTGATCCCATATGGACAGTTCTTAAAAGACTATAATGCTTAAGGCAGACGTTTTTCACTAGGTAAGCTAAACTATTGTTTAGTTTTAAGTAGACTTCAAGGAATATTTTTGGTTTAAGGTTTAAATTTGATCCCATATGGACAGTTCTTAAAAGACTATAATGCTTAAGGCAGAAGTTTTTCACTAGGTAAGCTAAACTATTGTTTAGTTTTAAGTAGACTTCAAGGAATATTTTTGGTTTAAGGTTTAAAGATTATCTTATGGAAATAGCTTCAGGAGTTTATCTTCCTTGGCTCCCAAAAGTCTTGAATTCCATGAGAATTTAAATTATATTTCCATTTTAACCCCTTTTGATCAGATTTCTTCTATGGAATCTTTGATCAAAATGTTCAGTGATGGTAGCCAGGCACCATCTAGTTCTTCTGGTCTCATGGCAAAAGAGGCAATTTTTCTTGGAGGTAATTAGCCACACATTCTTATCCTATTCCTCATTCTCCTCCCTCTGTTGCTCCAAGTGGATAGAGACCAAGTATTGTGGCTTGGATGGCCACTTGCAAGTTTTTAAGACCCCAGGCACTATACAACTAGGAGGTAGAACAGAAGCACTACATGTTATTGGGCCGACTGGCATGTCCCATAAAACCATGACCCTAAACCTCCAAACCAAGGATCCAAATCCCATGAGGTGTTTGGTTGTACATAAGCAGCCTCAGGAGCTACTTTTTTTTTTTCCTTTTTGTCATTGTTATAAATATATCTATCACACAAGTTTTGCCAATTCAACTTTTTACAGGTATACAACTTATTGACAGCGATTATAATTGGCTGTGCAACCCCACCCTTAACCAGTGCAATTTTTCCATTACCTTTTTCCCCCTCCCTTCCATGCCTGGTAACCACTAAAAAAGCTTTGGTCTCTGTACATTTGGCTCTTCTTGTCTTTTTATATAAGCAAGGTCGTACATTATTTGTCCTTTTGTGATTGGCTTATTTTGCTCAGCATAATGCTTTCAAGCTCTATCTATACTGTAGCATGGATCAAGACTTTGCTGGAAAGTTGTTTTAAAACAATGT